GTAGCGACGTTCCGGTCCGTCCTGGACCCTTATGTGACGACGTTCCGGTCCGTCCTGGACCCTTATGTGACGACGTTCCGGTCCGTCCTGGACCCTTATGTGATGACGTTCCGGTCCGTCCTGGACCCTTATGTGACGACGTTCCGGTCCGTCCTGGACCCTTATGTGACGACGTTCCGGTCCGTCCTGGACCCGTATGTGACGACGTTCCTGTCCGTCCTGGACCCTTATGTAGCGACGTTCCGGTCCGTCCTGGACCCTTATGTGACGACGTTCCGGTCCGTCCTGGACCCTTATGTGACGACGTTCCGGTCCGTCCTGGACCCTTATGTGACGACGTTCCGGTCCCAATATTCTCCCCAAGCCACACACACCAGAACTTAAGCCTATACACTCCCAATACAAACTAACGCTGACGTATTTGTTAACAGACTTTTGTTAACAGACTTTGGTATACGTTGAGTAATACAGTAACCCAAAATAGCTGGAAGATGGGAGGTTGCAGAGGTGATGTGCGGCTCATTGTGTGGAGCCCCCGCAGCTTTCACACCAGGAAGAACGGATGTGATTATGCAAAGTTGCAAGAGGGTTTAGCTACGCAATTATTATGAAACTCATCTCTTAAGTGATTACGGATGCTTTTGTAATGTATTTGTTGCACTGGAGCGTAAGCTGAGGAGATGGCTGGCCCCTCCTCCGAGCCGGTCGGCCGAGCGGACAGCACGCTGGACGCGTGATCCTGTGGTTCCGGGTTCGATCCCGGGCGCCGGCGAGAAACAATGGGCAGAGTTTCTTTCACTCTATGCCCCTGTTAAATAGCAGTAAAATAGGTACCTGGGTGTTAGTCAGCTGTCACGGGCTGCTTCCTGGGGGGTGGAGGCCTGGTCGAGGACCGGGCCGCGGGGACACTAAAGCCCCGAAATCATCTCAAGATAACCTCAAGATAACCTCCTCGATGTCGTTTGCGTCTGCTGTTGCTGTCGTTGTTTGGCATGTTGCATGTGTGGTTCCTCAAGAGCTGTGGAACAAGAGGCTTGGGGGGGGGGTAATCGGGCTTCAAATTGCCTCGTTGTGGCTTGTTAGTGCTTGTCTAACCGTCGGAGAGAAACAATCACTGTGATTACTACTGTGTTCTATATTAACTCTTCGTTAATTTACTACGCTTTTTGCTCTAAATATATAATTTATGCACTGCAACTCTTGAAGGTAAATGGTGTGGCCTTAAGATAGCCATAAAGATGGTTATCACTGCGGAGGATATCATATCCAAGTGCTTTTTAACCTGTAGTCATTGACATTGCTTTCTTAAGCACCCAATTACGATGCATATTTCATATTCCAATTTCCTCTCTCAGAACAAGCGAGGAAATTTGTGCATTGAATTATATACTTTTCAAGAAGACAAAACTGTTTATGGTTCATAATATAATCGGTATTGTGAAGAAAATCAATATTTATTTAAGTATAATTCATCCAATAGAGCAGAACTTGGGATAATGATATGGAAAATACATTATATTTGTTATGACATAAGTGTATGAGAGCAGCCTCGCTTGTGGTTAAGTGAGGGAGCGAGTGTGTGGGTGACCAGCCAAGCTACCCAACTGTTTGTGGTGGAGACTTCTCCAACACTGCCACAGTGGGACGGTAGAGCGACGGTCTCGCTTCATGCAGGTCGGCGTTCAATCCCCGACCGTCCACAAGTGGTTGGGCACCATTCCTTCCCCCCGTCCCATCCCAAATCCTTATCCTGACCCTTCCCAGTGCTATATAGTCGTAATGGCTTGGTGCTTTCCCTTGATAATTCCCTCTCTCTCTCGCTCTCTCTCTCTCTCTCTCTCGCTCTCTCTCTCGCTCTCTCTCTCTCTCTCTCTCTCTCTCTCTCTCTCTCTCTGTCTCTCTCTGTCTCTCTCTGTCTCTCTCTGTCTCTCTGTCTCTCTCTCTGTCTCTCTCTCTCTCTCTCTCTCTCTCTCTCTCTCTCTCTCTCTCTCTCTCTCTCTCTCTCTCTCTCTCTCTCTCTCTCTCTCTCTCTCTCTCTCTCTCTCTCTCTCTCTCTCTCTCTCTCTCTCTCTCTCTCTCTCTCTCATACAGTACAACAAATTACCACATTAACCTCCACTAAGGCAAGGAACTCAGTCATATTCCTAGTAAACAGATATTTTAACAAAAAATGCTGAAGCTCGAAAAGTAATTCGCACCATAAAATGAATCATAGTTTTATCACCATTTTGATAAATGATTCGTGTTGTGTGAGGTTTATGAGGGGAGTTATGGTGCTGTGCTCAGAGGGGAAATTTGAATATTACAAATATCATGGTAATTGGGTGCTTTAGAAACCCAGTGTTTGATGACTATAGGTTATAAAAGCACTTAGATGTGATATCTTACGCGGCGATAACCCCTCTTTATGACTCTATTGAGGTCACACGTCTTAGCTTCAAGACTCTTTTACGGTGAATAAATTATATATGTAGAGTAATGAGCATGCAGATATAACGAGGCGTTAATATAGAACACAGGAGTAATCACAGTGATTGTTTCTCTCCGACGGTTAGACAAGCACTAACAAGCCACAACGAGGCAATTTGAAGCCCGATTACCCTCCTTAAGCCTCTTGTTCCACAGCTCTTGAGGAGCCACACATGAACGATGGCTGCTCTTGCCTGCTCTTACATGCTATACGCCAAACTAACTGGTTGAAAGATGTAACGGTTTCGTAAGTTATTGCGTAAATGCTCCATGAACCCGGTTCCAGGTACTGGTACGCCAGCCAAGCCAAGTATCAAAGCCCTGTAGCAGTTGTCTGAGTGGATAAAAGATAATTCGTTGCAATCAAAATTGTTCTGAGTTAAAAAAAAAGTAATGCATATTTGTAATTATTTTTTGGTGGGAAGTGAGTGCTAACGTCGATAGGAAAGGTAAGGCAATGTAATTATACATTAATTAGGTAATTATTAATTGCGTAAGGTAATTATGAGAAAGCGCTTATCCCGTATGATTATTTATCACTCTGTAGGAGAGATAAGGGCAAAGAGCTGGGATATGAGGACAAGGAGCTGGGATATGAGGACAAGGAGCTAGGATATGAGGACAAGGAGCTGGGATATGAGGACAAGGAGCTGGGATATGAGGACAAGGAGCTAGGGTATGAGGACAAGGAGCTGGGATATGAGGACAAGGAGCTGGGATATGAGGACAAGGAGCTAGGGTATGAGGACAAGGAGCTGGGATATGAGGACAAGGAGCTGGGATATGAGGACAAGGAGCTGGGATATGAGGACAAGGAGCTGGGGTATGAGGACAAGGAGCTGGGGTATGAGGACAAGGAGCTGGGATATGAGGACAAGGAGCTGGGATATGAGGACAAGGAGCTGGAATATGAGGACAAGGAGCTGGGGTATGAGGACAAGGAGCTGGGGTATGAGGACAAGGAGCTGGGATATGAGGACAAGGAGCTGGACTATGAGAACAAGGAGCTGGAATATGAGGACAAGGAGCTGGGATATGAGGACAAGGAGCTGGGATATGAGGACAAGGAGCTGGGATATGAGGACAAGGAGCTGGGGTATGAGGTCAAGGAGCTGGGGTATGAGGACAAGGAGCTGGGATATGAGGTCAAGGAGCTGGGATATGAGGACAAGGAGCTGGGGTATGAGGACAAGGAGCTGGAATATGAGGTCAAGGAGCTGGGATATGAGGACAAAGAGCTGGGGTATGAGGACAAGGAGCTGGGATATGAGGACAAGGAGCTGAGATATGAGGACAAGGAGCTGGGATATGAGGACAAGGAGCTGGGGTATGACGAAGCTAAGGAACAGTGCCCAACCACTGTGGCATATACAACTACTTGCAAACGTAGCTACTTTGACTTTCAAATTCGTTATCAAATCTTGCCTTAAAGTTGGAGATGGAGGTGGCTTCCACAACTTGCTCTGGTGGAGCCTTCCACCTGTTAACTACCCGTACAGGGCACCAGTACTTTCTTATGTGCCTTTGGCTCATGTGGGCTTCTAGCTTGCGGGGGTTGAGCTCTGGCTCTTTGGTCCCGCCTCTCAACTGTTAATCAACTGGTGTACAGGTTCCTGAGCCTATTGGGCTCTATCATATCTACACTTGAAACTGTGTATGGAGTCAGCCTCCACCACATCTCTGCCTAATGCATTCCACCTGTTAACTACTCTGACACTGAAAAAGTTCTTTCTAACGTCTCTGTGGCTCATGTGGGTATTAGGTTTCCACCTATGTTCCCCTGTTCGTGTTCCACCCGTGCTAAAGAGTTTGTCTTTGTCCACCCTGTCAATTCCCCTGAGAATTTTGTAGGTGGTTAACATGTCTCCCCTTACTCTTCTCTTTTCCAGGAACGTGAGGTTTAGCTCCTTCAGCCTTTCCTCGTAGCTTATACCTCACAGTTCCGGGACAAGTCTGATGGCATACCTCTGAATCTTATCTAACTTTGTCTTGTGTTTAACTACGTATGGACTCCAGGCTGGAGCTGCATACTCCAGGATTGGTCTGACATAAGTGGTATACAGGGTCCTGAACGATTCCTTATACAAGTTTCTAAAGGCAGTTCTTATGTTGGCCAGTCTAGCATATGCCGCTGATGATATCTATTGATGTGTGTGTACTCACCTAGTTGTACTCACGTAATTTTGCTTGTGGGGGTTGAGCTCTGACTCTTTGGGCCCCGCCTCTCATTAGTCAATCCAATGATTTTTTTGTGCGTGCGTGCGAGTGCGTGTGTGTGCATGCATCATTATGCTTGCACTCACGTAATCGATTAGGAAGCGAGCGTTGAGAAGAGACTTCATTGATGAAGCCAAACAAGCAAACCACCTCATAATGACCCTATCATACCATTCCCGGGTTGTAAACTTTCAGAATATAGCTCTGGTAACCCTATCGGCCTCCAATAATAGGGCAGATCTTATCTTTCAATCAGTGAGAGTGAAATTGGGCATCGTTAATACGCCTGCTGGGAGGGTATACGGGTCTCATATCTATCTTATCTGGTGGGTTGACTTCGGTTGAGTAACGGGCAGCTCTTGTGGGGGCAGCTCTTGTGGGGGCAGCTCTTGTGGGGACAGCTCTTGTGGGGGCAGCTCTTGTGGGGCAGCTCTTGTGGGGGCAGCTCTTGTGGGGGCAGCTCTTATGGGGACAGCTCTTGTGGGGGCAGCTCTTGTGGGGGCAGCTCTTATGGGGACAGCTCTTGTGGGAACAGCTCTTGTGGGAACAGCTCTTGTGGGGGCAGCTCTTGTGGGGGCAGCTCTTGTGGGGGCAGCTCTTCTGGGGACAGCTCTTGTGGGGGCAGCTCTTGTGGGAACAGCTCTTGTGGGAACAGCTCTTGTGGGGGCAGCTCTTGTGGGGGCAGCTCTTGTGGGGGCAGCTCTTGTGGGGGCAGCTCTTATGGGGACAGCTCTTGTGGGGGCAGCTCTTGTGGGAACAGCTCTTGTGGGAACAGCTCTTGTAGGGGCAGCTCTTGTGGGGGCAGCTCTTGTGGGGGCAGCTCTTATGGGGACAGCTCTTGTGGGGGCAGCTCTTGTGGGAACAGCTCTTGTGGGAACAGCTCTTGTGGGGGCAGCTCTTGTGGGGACGGCTCTTGTGGGGGCAGCTCTTGTGGGGACAGCTCTTGAGGGGGCAGCTCTTGTGGGGCAGCTCTTGTGGGGGCAGCTCTTGTGGGGACAGCTCTTGTGGGGGCAGCTCTTGTGGGGGCAGCTCTTGTGGGGGCAGCTCTTGTGGGGACAGCTCTTGTGGGGGCAGCTCTTGTGGGGGCAGCTCTTGTGGGGGCAGCTCTTGTGGGAACAGCTCTTGTGGGGGCAGCTCTTGTGGGGGCAGCTCTTGTGGGGGCAGCTCTTGTGGGGGCAGCTCTTGTGGGGACAGCTCTTGTGGGGGCAGCTCTTGTGGGGGCAGCTCTTGTGGGGACAGCTCTTGTGGGGGCAGCTCTTGTGGGGGCAGCTCTTGTGGGGGCAGCTCTTGTGGGGCAGCTCTTGTGGGGACAGCTCTTGTGGGGGCAGCTCTTGTGGGGGCAGCTCTTGTGGGGGCAGCTCTTGTGGGGGCAGCTCTTGTGGGGACAGCTCTTGTGGGGGCAGCTCTTGTGGGGGCAGCTCTTGTGGGGGCAGCTCTTGTGGGGACAGCTCTTGTGGGGGCAGCTCTTGTGGGGGCAGCTCTTGTGGGGACAGCTCTTGTGGGGGCAGCTCTTGTGGGGGCAGCTCTTGTGGGGACAGCTCTTGTGGGGACAGCTCTTGTGGGGGCAGCTCTTGTGGGGACAGCTCTTGTGGGGGCAGCTCTTGCGGGGGCAGCTCTTGTGGGGGCAGCTCTTGTGGGGACAGTTCTTGTGGGGGCAGCTCTTGTGGGGACAGTTCTTGTGGGGGCAGCTCTTGTGGGGGCAGCTCTCGTGGGGGCAGCTCTTGTGGGGACAGCTCTTGTGGGGGCAGCTCTTGTGGGGACAGCTCTTGTGGGGGCAGCTCTTGTGGGGACAGCTCTTGTGGAGGCAGCTCTTGTGGGGACAGCTCTTGTGGAGGCAGCTCTTGTGGGGGCAGCTCTTGTGGGAGTTCTGAAATAATGGCAGTGGAGCGTATTGAAGTTGCGGCCATATTTAAGCCGTATATAAATAAAGTTGTATGGCCGTGGTGTGGCTACGGAATCTGTTCAGTTTCTGTTTTTTATTTATTCTATCCTTTACGCGAATTTTGATTCCTGTTCAGCTTTTCTGAGTCTCAATATTCATTATTCTGAGACTCGTTGAATCCTGAGTGTCAATATCCTGCCCACCTCCGCGTGTTGGATAGCATGATTGATCAGGATAATGGGCTCAGGACTTCATTTCTGCAATGTGTATTATATGGAACTGTTATTTGTTGCTTATTTTCCATTTTGTCAAAGTTGTTTATGAATTCTATTGCGGTCTTTGGTTTGTTGGTTAGTAACGAATTGGGTTGTTTAGGTTGGCAGATTAGGCCTAGTCATTCTTCCTTATCCAGCCCGACACACGTATGCCTATCCTTCCATGTCCTCCCTTCCCTATCCTCTCTCCCTCCCTCTCTATTCCTTCCCATCTCTCCCTCCCCACCCCTACCCCGTCAAGAATCAATCCCACCACCCACTAGCAGCACTAACAACAGCAATGGCGACTGTTCCGTCAACAGCGTGGGCGAGGTGGCTATATGAACAGGAAGCGAGACACAACAGTTAAGTAGCTCACCTATACCCTGGTGTGGGAGTCCCAGCACGCACGGGAGTGCAGGTGGAGGCGGCTCTTACCACCAAACGAGCCGGGGAAAATTTTCACCGCCTTAAATGAGCCAATGAAAATTTGACTTCCTTAGACGATTTTCACCGCCAGGAAGAACTGTTTACACTTCCCAATTGTCTTGAAGAACCTCTGTTATCATTACAAGAGCCTCTTGAAGAACCTCTGTTATCATCACTAGAACCTTTTGTAGAACCATTGTTATCACTAGAACCTCTTGTAGAACCATTGTTATCATCACTAGAACCTCTTGTAGAACCATTGTTATCATTACTAGAACCTCTTGAAGAACCTCTGTTATCATTACTAGAGCCTCTTGAAGAACCATTATCATCATCACTAGAACCTCTTGAAGAACCATTGTTATCATCACTAGAACCTCTTGAAGAACCAGTGTTATCATTACTAGAACCTCTTGAAGAACCTCTGTTATCATTACTAGAGCCTCTTGAAGAACCTCTGTTATCATTACTAGAGCCTCTTGAAGAACCTCTGTTATCATTACTAGAACCTCTTGAAGAACCATTGTTATCATCACTAGAGCCTCTTGTAGAACCATTGTTATCATCACTAAAACCTCTTGAAGAACCAGTGTTATCATCACTAAAACCTCTTGAAGAACCAGTGTTATCATCACTAGAGCCTCTTGAAGAACTACTGCTGGCTGACAGTCCCTGCTGGCTGAGAGTCCCTGCTGGCTGACAGTCTCTGCTGGCTGAGAGTCCCTGCTGGCTGACAGTCTCTGCTGGCTGAGAGTCCCTGCTGGCTGACAGTCTCTGCTGGCTGACAGTCCCTGCTGGCTGAGAGTCCCTGCTGGCTGACAGTCTCTGCTGGCTGACAGTCCCTGCTGGCTGACAGTCCCTGCTGGCTGACAGTCTCTGCTGGCTGAGAGTCCCTGCTGGCTGACTGTCTCTGCTGGCTGACAGTCCCTGCTGGCTGACAGTCCCTGCTGGCTGACAGTCTCTGCTGGCTGACAGTCCCTGCTGGCTGACAGTCCCTGCTGGCTGACTGTCTGCTGGCTGACAGTCCCTGCTGGCTGACAGTCCCTGCTGGCTGACAGTCTCTGCTGGCTGACAGTCCCTGCTGGCTGACAGTCCCTGCTGGCTGACAGTCTCTGCTGGCTGACAGTCCCTGCTGGCTGACTGTCTCTGCTGGCTGACAGTCTCTGCTGGCTGACAGTCTCTGTTGGCTGACAGTCTCTGCTGGCTGACTGTCTCTGCTGGCTGACTGTCTGCTGGCTGACGGTCCCTGCTGGCTGACTGTCTGCTGGCTGACAATCTCTGCTGGCTGACTGTCTCTGCTGACTGACAGTCCCTGCTGGCTGACAGTCTCTGCTGGCTGACAGTCTCTGCTGGCTGACTGTCTCTGCTGACTGAGTCCCTGCTGGCTGACAGTCTCTGCTGGCTGACAGTCCCTGCTGGCTGACTGTCTCTGCTGGCTGACTGTCTCTGCTGGCTGACAGTCCCTGCTGGCTGACAGTCTCTGCTGGCTGACAGTCTCTGCTGGCTGACAGTCTCTGCTGGCTGACAGTCTCTGCTGGCTGACTGTCTCTGCTGACTGACAGTCCCTGCTGGCTGACAGTCTCTGCTGGCTGACTGTCTCTGCTGACTGACAGTCCCTGCTGGCTGACTGTCTCTGCTGGCTGACAGTCCCTGCTGGCTGACAGTCCCTGCTGGCTGACAGTCTCTGCTGGCTGACAGTCCCTGCTGGCTGACAGTCCCTGCTGGCTGACTGTCTGCTGGCTGACAGTCCCTGCTGGCTGACAGTCCCTGCTGGCTGACAGTCTCTGCTGGCTGACAGTCCCTGCTGGCTGACAGTCCCTACTGGCTGACAGTCTCTGCTGGCTGACAGTCCCTGCTGGCTGACTGTCTCTGCTGGCTGACAGTCTCTGCTGGCTGACAGTCTCTGTTGGCTGACAGTCTCTGCTGGCTGACTGTCTCTGCTGGCTGACTGTCTGCTGGCTGACGGTCCCTGCTGGCTGACTGTCTGCTGGCTGACAGTCTCTGCTGGCTGACTGTCTCTGCTGACTGACAGTCCCTGCTGGCTGACAGTCTCTGCTGGCTGACTGTCTCTGCTGACTGAGTCCCTGCTGGCTGACAGTCTCTGCTGGCTGACAGTCCCTGCTGGCTGACTGTCTCTGCTGGCTGACTGTCTCTGCTGGCTGACAGTCCCTGCTGGCTGACAGTCTCTGCTGGCTGACAGTCTCTGCTGGCTGACAGTCTCTGCTGGCTGACAGTCTCTGCTGGCTGACTGTCTCTGCTGACTGACAGTCCCTGCTGGCTGACAGTCTCTGCTGGCTGACTGTCTCTGCTGACTGACAGTCCCTGCTGGCTGACAGTCTCTGCTGGCTGACAGTCCCTGCTGGCTGACTGTCTCTGCTGGCTGACTGTCTCTGCTGGCTGACAGTCCCTGCTGGCTGGCGGTCTCTGCTGGCTGACAGTCTCTGCTGGCTGACAGTCCCTGCTGGCTGACTGTCTCTGCTGACTGACAGTCCCTGCTGGCTGACAGTCTCTGCTGGCTGACTGTCTCTGCTGGCTGACAGTCTCTGCTGGCTGACAGTCTGTTGGCTGACAGTCTCTGCTGGCTGACAGTCTCTGTTGGCTGACAGTCTCTGCTGGCTGACAGTCCCTGCTGGCTGACTGTCTCTGCTGGCTGACTGTCTCTGCTGGCTGACTGTCTCTGCTGGCTGACTGTCTGCTGGCTGACAGTCTCTGCTGGCTGACAGTCTCTGTTGGCTGACAGTCTCTGTTG